GAGGGGGGGAACGTGGGCTTTGCAAGTTGGTGTAGCGCTGAATTCTCTCAAGAGCTGAGAAGCTGGAGCAATAGGGGAGAGAGGTCTGACTCTCAGCCCCCCTTGTGAGGCTGTGGGGACAGGCAGCTGCTGGCTCCATACCCAGTTGCTATTAGGGTTCGTGTGTGCTGTTTATTGAGGGAGGGGCCTTGGGTCAGGGGCGGGGCAGCCAGCCCTCTGCCTGGAGCTCCCCATCTTCAGAGCTGCACAGAGCACGGTGCTCCCCCCTCCCAGCCCTGAGCGCCGTCCCGATCATGCAGTGCTCCAGCAGCAAGTAGCAACTGTGGCCAGGAGCCTCGGGCCCTTTGAATTGCCCGACCCCAGGGCAATTTCCCTCTCTGTCCTGCTGTCAGCAGGCCTGGTTGTGGCCTTTTACAGAGCCCCACGTTTCTCTCGGTGGCCTTTAAATGGTCCGCTCTGAGATGTGGCTTCATTTTTCAGTCTCAGCGGGGGAGCCGTGTGGGTCTGTAACTTTCAAAACAAGGGGTGGTCCTGTGGCACCTTAGAGACGAACACAAATATATCTCCAGCATTGTGAGCTTTCGTGGGCAGAACCTGCTTCGCATGCAACCGAAGAAGTGGGTTTTGCCCACGAAAGCTCACGCTCCTCTGTATAGATTTGTTAGTCTCTCAGGCGCCACAGGGCGACTCGTTTTGTTTTTCAGTTAGCTTTGATTGGCAGGGAAAGGCCTGAGTTTGAGGACAGAACTTGAGTAGTAGACGGGCATCCCTTTTCTCAGCATCCCGTGTTTCAGAGCTACTCGTCCCAGGTGGAAGAAAGCAAACTCAGCATGTTCCGACATTTCCCAGACGGGAAAGAAATGTGGACGGTCAACTCCCAATTCTGTTAGAAAGCGTGAGCCGGAATTCCTTTGGGGGACACTTTCCAAACTTGGCCTGTTCTTATGCAGCCCCTGTTTATTTGTGCATTAACGCTTGCGAGCTCAGCTGGCAGAATTCACAAAGCCGGAATCCACCGGTCCACGGTTTCATGAACCGGACTGCAGTTCCTCACACAAAAGTGCGTGCACAATTGCAACAGTCGCAACGACTGCACGTGTGGCTAGCCCGTTACGGTATGCACAGGCTCGTGGCTGCAAGCCACGGCCACAGCACAGCGCGCTAAGGAAGCATGCCATAGTGTGGCCATTTCCCTGCAAACGGAAGCCAACATATGCACACGCGAGAGCACAGCACAGAAACTGCCCGTGGCCGTGATTGGGTGTGCAGTGAAGAGCTGGCCCATTATGTTAGGTCCCAAAGTTACTAATAAAGCTGTAATGAAAAGCACTTGGAACAAGAGGCCACGCCAGAAAAAGCAGACCGAGACAAAGTCTTTCATTGTTTAGTGGAATAGTCCTGTTGATCAGTGGATGGAAGCCATGGAGGCTGTTGAAAGTTCGACCTCACAGCCCGTCCCAAGGATAGAGGGTTGTTTATTCATTGGTTGGGAAGTGCAGCAATGCCATAGGGGCATCTCTGGCACCACACAGTGGAAATGTTGGTCTCAGGACAGCCCCCACCAAAGTCAATGGGAGATCCGACTCCAGGCCAGCTAACTTTGTCTTTGGAAAACAGCTGTTTCCAATCGGGCTGGTTGGCACTGGCTGTAGCATTGTCAATTTCTCCCACACTAGTCTGTCATATTCCTTTGCTAGCCTCCCTTTCATTCCTAATCCCTGGCCACGCCAGAGCAAAGACCCCCTCTCCCGGTGGATTGCGGTCAGCATGCTCCGTGGGGTGGGTGACGTGTGTAGTAAGGACTTGGCTGAAACCTCCAAACTAGTTTTTTAGCCCTGATTCACCTCTGCAGGGGGTGGAACCCGTTCAAAGGCATGGAGGGCTGGTGCTAATCACGTTCTATTGTTTGGCAGCTCAATTACACCCGGCCGGGGCTTCCGAACTTGAATCCGGGGCTCTTGGAAACCTGGAAGAATGAGGTGAAGGAGAAAGGACACATCAGCTGCCCCAATAACGTAAGGACGTTCTCTCTGCATATAACGGGCGGGATTTTCCAAGGATACCCCCCCAGCTGGAACGTTCGGGCGGAGGGACTTCTCCATGGGGAAACCTCTGAACTGAATGCTGCCGTTTGGCTCTTGTTTCTGTTCAGTCTGTACTTAGGCAAAACTCCCGGGGACGGGATTGACGTGCAGCCCGAGTAAAGACCTCAGGGTCTGGCCTGCAGAGAGATTTTTTCTAGTTTTCTTTTTAGTTGCCTTGATGACTGTTTGAAGCGCGCCCAGTCACTGTGCCGTTCGATGATGTGATCATACTGCTGGACATAATGGCTAGGGAGAGGCTAGTGCAGGGGTGGGAAAGCGCAGGCCAGGGGGCCACATCCGGCCCCCAGCTTGCCTGGATCCATCCCCTGAGGGTCAGCATTGGGAAACTCCAATGCTCAGCCGCCCGCCCACCCACAGGGCTGGAGCACACAAAATCTACTAGCCTGGCCCCCCAAGGCTGGTGTGCAAGGGGAATGTGGGGAGTGTCATTCTCCTTCTTAGTCCAGGGCCACGTCTGGGGGTTTTTTGTTTGTTTTTTTGCTTCTCACTTGTGTGCGGCCCCCGACTGATTTTTCTGGGGGTCAGCAGCCCCCAACCCAAAAAAGGTTCCCCGGCCCTGGGCTAGAGAGTGGAACTGGGACTCGCTGGCTCGTTGTTCCAAGGGGAGAGATCTGCGAATAAGCTAAAGCCGCGGTGCAGAGGGAGCTTCCTAAGGATTTCAGGGTTTGGGTTCTGGGAGCTGCTTTTTGAAGTCCTGGGGAGTTTTGCCTGAATAAAGGCTGCAGGGATGTAAGAGTGTCACCGTGTAAGCAGTTAAGCGCATGCTTATCGGTTACTGTAACGGTTACACACCGGCTCCCAGCCCCACTCCTGTGGCTCAGAGCAGCAGCCAGCTCCCTGGGAGCGGGCTGCCACCCCGCACTGCTGCCTCTATATCAGAGACAGCAGCGTGAGGAAACAGCCAGCTCCTCAGCAGCTGGGCAGCAGATGGGAGCTTAAAAGCCAGCTCCCGGCACACACTGGCTCCCAGCAGGGCCGGCTGCCACCCCATGCTGCTGCCTTTGATAGAAAGGCAGCAGCGTGGGGCAGCAGCCAGCTCCCTGGGAGTGGAGAGCAGGCAGGAGCCGGTGCATGTCGGGAGCCAGCTTAAAAGCCAGTTTCCAGCATGCACCGGCTCCCAGGGAGCTGGCTGCCTCCCTGTGTTGTGGGCCCTTCAGTATAAGCTTTATACCGCAGAGCCCGCAGCGTGGAACCACAAAATTGGTGACAGGTAACACAGTTAGCTAATTAACTGCTTGTTAACATCCCTACTAGAAAGTCTCTTTTCAGCCAGGGCCCATGTTTCCCAGACTGTCTCTTATTAGAGGAAGTCAGGTCTTGAGTTTTAAATCTCTTAGCTGGCGGTGACTACAGTCACTGATTTTGCAGCTCCGATAACAGAGTGTGCAGCTAACAAAGGTTAGCCGTTGGCACGCACAGATGCCCAGTTGGGCGCACAGGAAAAGCCCCGCAGATGAGGGGCGTGCATTCTGGGCATGCACTAACCTCTTTTGTAACTCGGGATTTGCCTAACTTTCCTCTGGATGAGAAACTGCGCCCTTCTTCCTGAGCCATTGATTTATCACCCGGAACGAAGGCTTGCTAATGGGGCTCTTAAAACTAGGGCGTCAGCAGGGTGAGACATGTTAGCTAATTAGTGTCAGAGACATGCACTTAGAAGAGATGTTGCTCAGAAGCTGATTATGCAACTGCCTGGATAATTAGCCTCTCTGCTTGGAGCTTCTGCGGCTGCAGCCAGAACTCCGGGAGCTCAGCAGGGCCTCCCAAGCCCTAGAGAACGTACATTTTTCACGGAGACGTTTAGGGATACGTTTTTCAGCCCTGGGGCAGAAGGACTGAACCACATGACTCCCATTAGCACTAATAGGAAACGTGCGGCTTCATCCCCATGTATCACCCAGAAAATTAACCTTCCGTTGATTATCCAGAGCCGACAATCAAAAGCGACCTCCTGGGGATGGTGGGCGGCAGTCCATGAAATCTAAAAAGCCCGGGAGCAAGTTGCTACCCTCTCTGCCTCTTTCTTTCTCTCGGCAGAGCTGTGAAGCCATCTATTCCAGCGTTTCTGGCCTGAAAGCCCACCTGGCTAACTGCAACAAGGTAGGTTTGCCTGAAAAAGGGTCTAGGATCTCTGCCCTTTGGCTAGTATATCTTTTCTCTCGTTCTCCCGCACGTTAGGGGGAAATGGCCCACGATAAGAAGTAATTCAGAGGGTTTTTTTAAGCTATTTCTTGCGTTAGGTCCTTGGGACAGGCTGATGCCACGGGGAGCCAAATCCTCTGCTCCTCTACCATGCCAGCCATGCTGACGAACGCTTTCCAGCACCGCCCCGCTCGCTCGCTTTAGCACAGCCCCCGAGGGCCCCCGTGGAGGTGAGGAGAGGGGTGCCCGCCTCACGCTGACTGAAACCAGAGACGTGATACCTGGTAGAGCTGGATGGATGAAAACCATCCCACAAAGTGATCCGGCAGGAGGCCAGGCGCTCCCCGAACCCCGAAGGAGCCCACGGTCCTTGTACAGGACCAGCGCAGGGGGAAATGTACCCATTCCTCGCAGCTAGTTCCTACGTTGTCACCTGACCTCTGTGAGCTGGAGGGAGCGCACCAGCCCTTCTCACAGGCCGCCTTGTGGTGCTAGCACTCCTGGCTCCCGCCGCCAGGTTGGAACGGGAAGTAAAAGTCTCCACATCTCACTTAGACCAAGTCCCCTGAACCGGGGATGGTGGCAGCCGACTCATTAACCCTTTCACGCCAGTGTGCTGGGGATGGGGAGCCAAAGTCCACCCCCGGAGTTGGGACCGGCGTGGCCCGCCTCCCGCCTCAGGGATGTACTCGCACGCAGGACCTGGCTGGCTGCTTGCTTCAGGTAGCGAGGGGCAACCTAGGCGAGTGAGTGGGTCGCGCGAGTGGCCCTTCTTCATCTCAGGGCGTGTCTAGTCTACAGGGTTTTGTCGACAAAAGTGGACTCTTGTTGAGAAAACTATCCCTGCGTCTACGCTACCGCCGCATTCCACCGACAGTAAGTCGACAGAACGCAGCATTTTTGTCGACGGGGGTAAACCTCATTTGAAAAAAGGCGCTATTGCATTCACACTGTGCTTTTTCATGAGAGAGCATCTAGACTCTCCGTCGAAAAAGCGGCTTGCTTTGTCGACAGAACTGGCTGTAGTCTAGACGCTCCTTTTCAACAGTATCTGTCGACAAAGCCTGTAGTCTAGACGTACCCTCAGTGGGCTGCAAGATGGTCGTAACCAAGATCCCGGGACAAGGCAGTTTTGCTAAGTGCACTTGCGTACCTAGGATTTGTGGGCTGTGCCGACTGAACTGTGGCAGCGCCGTGACGGGCCGCAGAGGGAGCGCCCGGCTCTCCCAACACTGTGTGCAGGCAGCGCCCACCTCATGGCATGTGTCCTGGCTTTACGTGGGTGCCACAGTAGTAATACCGGCAGGAACACAACTATGTGGATGAAAACCAGCAGACTCTGGCATGGGCAAGAGTGAACAAAATGTCTCGTGGGCCGCACAGAGAACCCCAGTGGGCCACAGGTGGCTCACCCCTGCTCCAGGTATTCCTGCCTGGCCACTGAAGTCGTGCAGCCACGATCCTTCCTCTAGCCTGATACGATGTCATCAACTTCATGGTCAGTCCCAAAGAGACATGGCCTCCGTGCAGAGGGAGCATCGCCTCGCTCAAGCTTTGGCCCAGGGCGTTCAGCGGTCTGGTCGTCTCTTCAGTTTATGCCCCTCCCTGGCAGTCCTGTCATGCCACCAAAGCTTTGGAGGCCCCTGTGATTGCTGGTTGGGCGCCCCTTGGAATTCATCCGTCTTCCATTGGAAGAATTCATCCCTACCAGGCAAGCTGCCAAAACCCAGCCCTGCTGAGGGAGGCAGTTGCTGGGTTCGCCTTCCAATAGAGCTGCCTGGCCTGGTCCTGCCATTTGACGTGCAGCCGCCGACCAAGAGGCCAAGAATCAGAGAATCCTAGAATCCCAGGACTGGAAGAGACCTCAGGAGTCACCGAGTCCAGCCCCCTGCCCAAAGCAGGACCAACCCCACATAATCAACCCAGCCAGGGCTTTGTCAAGCTGGGACCCCAAAACATCTAGGGATGGAGATTCCACCCCCTGCCTAGGGAACCCGTCCCAGTGCTTCCCCACCCTCCTAGGGAAATAGTTTTTCCTAATAGCCAACCTAGACCTCCCCCATTGTAATTTGAGACTACAGCCGGTCCCCGAGTTGCGAACAGTCGACTTAGGACTGTTCGCAGTAACGACCAAAAATGTCGTAAATGCTGGACCCCGAGTTACAAACGCGATTCGCACTTACAAACAGCACGGTTACGTGTAAGTTGATGGGGCCCGACTTACGAACAAACCGAGTTCTGACCAATTGCTTGGTCCGTAACCGGTTTGTAAGTCGGAGACAGGCTGTATTGCTCCTCGTTCTGCCATCCGTCACTACTGTGAACAGCCTCGCTCCATCCTCTTTGAAACCTCCCTTCAGGAAGTTGAAGGCTGCTCTCAAATCCCCCCTCACTCTTCTCTTCTACAGACTAAATAAGCCCAAATCCCTCAGCCTCTCCTTGTAGGTCATGTGCTTCAGCGCCCTCATCATTTTGGTTGCCCTCTGCTGGACTCTCTCCAATGCGTCCACAACCTTTCTGTAGTGGGGGGCCCAGACCTAGATGCAATACTCCAGCTGTGGTCTCACCAGTGATGACTAAAGGGGAATAATCACTTCTCTAGATGTGCTGGCAATGCTCCTCCTAATGCACCCTAATATGCACAGCTTTCTTGGCTACAAGGGCACCCTGTTGACTCATAGCCAGTTTCTCATCCACTGTCATCCCCAGGCCCTTTTCTGCCAAACAGCTGCTTAGCCACTGTGTCCCCAGTCTGTGACAATGCTTGGGATTCTTCCATCCCAAGTGCAGGACTCTGCACTTGTCCTTCTTTAAATCAGATTTCTTTTGGCCCAACCCTCCAATTTGTCTAAGTCACTCTGGATCCTATCGCTACCCTCCAATGTACCTACTTCTCCCACTAGCTTAGTGTCATCTGTGAACTTGCTGAGGGTACAACCCATCCCCTCCTCCAGCTCATTAATATAGATGTTGAACAAAACCAGCCCTAGAGCCGATCCTTGGGGCGCTCTGCTTGAAATCAAACGCTGTGTTCCGCTTCCCTCCGCACCCATGTTTCACGCCCCTGCAACTGAGCTGCTATCTCCGTGGCCTGTAGAACTGCAGTCCCGCAGCCGACGGGACCTCACGAGGTCCCCACGGAGGCTGCTCAAAGACCAGAAACTTGGCAGGAGCTGCTGCCGGAAGCAAAGCCGCATCTTTGGAGCATCCTACGATGCCGCTCAAGCGTCTGAGAGCCACCATTCGCTCGATGTACCGTCCGCACCGGTTAATACCGAGCCGGTTGCAGTCTGATGTTAGACACTGCTCGATGGGAGCAGCCTGGCACTTACGTGGCTTAATAACCAGACCAGTGCGGGTTGTTCCTTGCCCTATTAGACTGGCACCCAACTGAGCCAATAAGATAATGTCAGTGGTGTATTGGAGCGCTCCAAGCAGAACAGGATTCAACTCCGGTAAAGAGAAATGCCTAGGCCATTAGCCTACCCAGCAGTTGTCCAGCAATGGGCATAAATGCCTCTGGCATCCTTGCTTAGACTCCTCCTTACACGGAGTGATTCCCATCCTGATGATCTTGCAGGATGATTTCGCACACCGTAGAGTAAATACAAAACAACCCACAGTTCGGTGCCAAAGAGGAAGGTGCCTAAAGGAATTAGGTGCCTAACTCCTATTGACTTAGGCATTTAACTCCACTCCTCTCCTTTGGAAATCTCAGCCTGTATCAATATGCTGTGTCCTAGAAAGAGTAGAACCACAGGCCTGGACACAGCCACATAGTCATGCTATCTATCTAGGTACGTACATGACCTCCACCGCCGTGCCGGGATCGATACAGTAACAGAGCTTCCAGTTGAAATTAACTCCAGGAACATTGGCCCGCGGCAAGAAAGGGCCCCCTCAGTGCAGCACCGTTGGATTGGAACAGAGAAAGAACTTGTAAAACTCTGTCGCTTGAAATACTCCCAGCTCGAAATCACCTTGGCTGCCGATTCCCGACAGCACCTCCTCAGTCCTTGTGGGCCAAGTGCATGCCCTCTGGTTATTGGCAACATACGCAGCTCTTTCTCCTCCAGCCTTAACTAGAACATTGACCCCGAATGAGAGGATGGAGAAAATCCGAGGCAGAAATCCTGCCCAGACCACAGAATTTTCATCTAATAAAATAGTGTCTGCAGGAGATTTGACTGGTTATTCGGGTGGGTTGCAAACTCACTCTGTTTGCCAGCAAAAAGAGGCCCCTCCGTAGCACAGCCTATCAAGACCAAGCAGGCCTGTGCTTACAAAAAATATGCATGTGGTTGCACCCTTACTTGGAGATGGACTTAGCAGGGCAGTGCCCAGAAACCAGGGCACACATGAGCCATTGCGTCCCTCACTAGTCGTTTGTGTGCACAGCTGGGGCAACTGCACCTCAAATCAACCGCCAAGGCATTTTTTGGAATGCACAAATTCATGGCCCTTGTTCTGCCAAATGGAGACTAGGCTCCCCAGCAAGCTCCGGGCTTGCCTCCAGCATCCATGGCACCGATCCTGGAGTCCTGACACGGGAGCCACCCCTGCTCTCCCGCTTGTGCAGATCTCGTGTGGACCCAAATTCCCACACAGGCCGCCTGCCGGTGTCGCCTACCGTTGTGTGGAGCTGTCGTTCAGGAGCCCGATGTGGGATAGGCAGGGGGACAGGAGAATCCGTGACTCTGGGTGTGTAGAGCCCACACACAGACTAGTGGCCATAGGAGGGCTTTGGAGGGTAGTTGGAGGACACTCTGGAGCAGGGATGGGTAATAAGCAGTTCATGGGCCACATACAACTCACCGGGGTTAGCCCCTGGCGGGCTGCTGGCACTTTATTTACCTGTGTCTCCGCAGGTACGGCCACTTGCAGCTCCCATTGGCCACAGATCGCCATTCTCAGCCAATGGGAACTGCAGGGAGTGGTGTCCCAGTCCGCGCCGCTTCCCACAGCTCCCATTGGCTGGAAATGGTGATCCCTGGCCAATGGGAGCTGCGATCGCCGGTGCCTGTGGGCACACTGTAAATAAAGCACCAACGGCCTGGCAGAGGCGAACCCTCGCAAACCGTGTCCAGCCTGCGGGCCATTTATTGCCCACCCCTGCTATCGTGGATATCATGGAGGAGCCTTGTTGGAGGATACTATGCTCCGTGGCTGCTGTAGGGCCCTTAGCACAGATCATGCTAGTGAGAAAGTCACCCACAACCTCCTGGGTGTAGTACTGTCCCTCCAACTGGCACCGAGACCCTTACAGAGACAATCATGAGTCTGCTCTACAGCCTGAGCTGAGAGCCAGCAGGCTTTTAGCTCATGCGGAGGCTCATGCACTCCGCTCTCGAGGTCTCAGGTTCAGTTCCGCCTGTCGGAGCTACAAGGGGAACCGTGCCTCATCTCTTACCTCAGAGGGAGTTTTGCTGGAACAAAGATTGAAGGATTTAAACCTACAATAACCCTCTCCACTAAGCGGGGGAGTTGAGGAGCACCATCCGGTAATTCCTAAGAAACCTCAGGAGCTGGACTGAATTCTGTTTTTTCATGAAATCCCAATGGAGTGTCCCGAATACGTGTATTCATCCAGAATGGGAGAACTGATGCAGAATCCTAGAATCTTCAGGCTGGAAGAGACCTCAGCAAGGCATCGTGTCCAACCCCCGGCTAAAAGCAGCACCAATCCCAGCTGCTCCCTGCACTGGGGTCAATATGGATCAACGATCACGTGATTTTGCACGATCATTTCTGGATTAGGCGTTAAGTGGGACTCTGGGCTGGCCAGGCCTGCCTGCCTGCCGACACAGCTAGGAAATGAAAGACTCAGCTGCCATAAAATTTACAGCATGAACCCAATTATGAAGAAATTCCCACAGAGCCCATACATCGCCCAGAGAACCTAATATATAATTCCCTGGTCAATAGAGAACGCATTACCTCCTCGGTGGCGGTGGACCGAGGCCGAGTCGAGAAATCATTCATTTTCATGAGGCCTCTAATAATGAAAATCCAACAATGTAATGGCCTGTTCGAGAGTATAAAGGCAAAATTAGGAAAGACCCATTGATCATAAATTAGAAGTTGCACTCCCGGTAGGTGTTCTTAACGATCGCTGAATTTGCTGAGAGTAAGGGCGGTGTGCAGCTAGCCATATTAAATGGAGAAGAAAGTCTGTTCGTGTAATATTACAGTCGAGATTTTTAAATGCACAAACACCAGGAAGTTCACATTTTTGCTCCCACAGAAACCATCCCTCATTCCCCTTGGGATGCATATGTGGTATTTTTGTGTTATTGGACAAGGAGCTACTTTTATGCCTTGATACACAGATGCAATTACAGTTGCCGTGGGAACCGGAGCTTTGCCTTTCCCGGAAGCGTTCGAGGCAATTAAAATTCACACCATTGTGGAGGAAAATGGGGCTCTCTCTGTTGCTGCGTGAGAGCGCCTCTCTCTCCTTTGCATCCCCGGGGATTAAGTCTGAGGCATCCCGTTCCCTGGTGTTTTTCATGCGTGTTCTAGGGAACGAGGCCCAGGTTTTCAGGTGCGCGCGGGCAGCCGGGCACCTGCCTGGCACGTGTTGTCTGGGAAGGTGCAAGCACGGAGGCCTCAGTGAGCAGGACACCGTGTGCAGAATTACCGTGTGACGTGCCCTCTTGCAGTCGTTGCTCATGCAAGTCCGATAGGCGAATGCGCACGTACCCACCTTCTGTCACAGGACGTTTCTCTTCCTGTCGGATTTTTCTGAGGAGAAGTAGCCCCCTCACTGTAGCAGATAAGAGATTACAGAGAAAGTTCCTGGCCTTTGGCTCCCGGGGCACCGCCGTGTCCCTGTTGTCACAGATGCAGTATTTCAGGAATACATCGACACTCTTACCTTGAAGACAAAGTCTTTGAGCTCTTGATGACAAGGGGCCATTTGTGGTCTTTGAATGTCCCTGGATCCATCATCGTGGGCCCAAGCAACAAGCTGAGGCCTGGTCTACACCAGAGGGGAAGGTGAGTGTACGATATGCAAATCCAGCTACGTTAATTGTGTAGCTGGAGTCAACGTACCTAACATCCCTGTCCATGCTGCGAGAGGCTGATGGGAGCACATGCTCCCGCCGGCTTCCCTTACTGCTGGCAGGAGGAGGAGTACCGGACGCCAGCAGGGGCTGCCCTCAGCGTTCGATTTAGGGGTCTGCACTAGACCCTCTAAATCAAATGCTAGAAGATCGATCTCCAGAGGTCGATCTTCTCTGTAGTGTAGACAACTAGAGACTTCCCATGGGCTTCTGGGTTGCGAGGCGGGAGGGAGAGGCTCACGTTTGAACCTGCTTTAGAAAACAGGAGGCTGCTCTCTGCCTTTCAGGGGAACCACTCGGTTGGGAAGTACCGGTGCCTTCTCTGCCAGAAGGAGTTCAGCTCAGAAAGCGGAGTCAAGTACCACATCCTCAAGACTCACGCTGAGGTAAGGAAGTGGGCGGGGCACAAGGGGGTGGGGCCTAGTTGAGGTTGTTTCCTGCTCGGGTTCATTTGAGTCCTCTAGAAGCCCTCCGGGAACTAGCAGAGTTTCTTTCCCTTGGGACGGAGGCAGGGGGGAGCTTACGTCATGCGTGGTCAGTATCATAGGCAGGGGAAGGTGTTGCCTTCCCAACCCGCTAGATTGACCCCACCCAGACTCCGCCCCCCCAAACAACTACTGTATGCGAACTGGGGGCAGAGGGTTGCTGCCCCCCGGCGTCCACCCTCCCCATGCTCTGGGGCCGGGGAGGCTGGGGCAGCGCACCACCTCACCTCTCTGTGGTGCTGGGGGGGCAGCTTGGCTCCCGTGAGGGGCAGGGCCTGGGCTGATGGGCTGGGGGCTTGTCTCCCCCAATCCTATCTTCACCCACCACACATGTCCCTTGGTTTTTCTGGCTGTCTCTCATTGTCTCACCTGATTGACTTTCATCAGAGGCCCCGGAGCACCTGGTTTAGCCTGTGGAACATCCAGAGACATGATGTTGCCTTGGGCTTATTTTGCACACTTTGCATTAAGGATGGGCAAACTCATTCAGCCCAATTTCCTACCCCACCCACAGGCTGAAAAGCTTGACTCTGCTTTGGAGGTTGTTGGGTTCCTGTTCTGGTGAGGGGAGACAGAAAGGGAAGAGAGAGAAATGAAAACACAGGGTGAAAAGTGGAGCAGAGCCTGGGAGGTGAGGGGAAATAAAGAGAAACTGGGGGAGTGGTGAAGAGGAGAGAGACATTGTAAAGTGAAGAGAGATACAGTCCACACCTGTGTAGAACATACAGGGTGTGTCTAGACTACATGCCTCCGTCGACGGAAGCATGTAGATTAGACAGATCGCCAGAGCGAAATGAAGCCGCGATTATTTAAATCGCGGCTTCCTTTCCCTCTGCCGATCTGTCTAGACTACATGCCTCCGTCGACGGAAGCATGTAGATTAGACAGATCGCCAGAGCGAAATGAAGCCGCGATTATTTAAATCGCGGCTTCCTTTCCCTCTGCCGATCTGTCTAGACTACATGCCTCCGTCGACGGAAGCATGTAGATTAGACAGATCGCCAGAGCGAAATGAAGCCGCGATTATTTAAATCGCGGCTTCCTTTCCCTCTGCCGATCTGTCTAATCTACATGCTTCCGTCGACGGAGGCATGTAGTCTAGACACCCCCTGAGTGTCTAGACTGCATCCAGTTCTGTCGACAAAGCAAGCCGTTTTGTCGACATGAGAGTGTGGACACAAAGGACAGTGTGGATGCAGTAACACCTTCTGTCTACAGAACTCTGTCAACAAAAGGCGTTATTCCTCGTAGAATGAGGTTTACCGCCGTCGACAAAACTGCCAAGTTCTGTTGATGTTATATCGACAGAACTCAGAGGTAGTGTAGACGCAGGTATAGTTTTGTCAACAAAAGTGAACTTTTGTCGACAAAACCCTGTAGTCTAGACACACCCTCGTTGTCGACAGAGGCTTTGTTGACAGATACTGTTGACAAAGCCTCTGTCGACAAAAGCCTGTAGTCTAGACGTACCCACAGAGTGCACCTTTGCCTCTGTCCTTCATACACCGCACAGATCTCCCCGTCTTTTATATAGAAAATAGGAGAAAAAGGTTTGGTGCTGAGGGCTCTGTTAGGAGGCAGTGTGGTCTAGTGGGCAGGCACTAGGCTGGGCGTCAGAATTCAAAACGAGTTTGTGGGATTTGCGAAACGTAAGCGTCCACAAAGATGCCCCCCTCCCGCTTCCACTTATCTGTCAGCGCCTCCGTGGGCAGAGGCTCAGGGAAGCATTCAGGCTGCGGCAGAGGATGTCAATGGGGGGAACAGGGGATTTGCCAGTGAGAAGTGAGGGAGGGAACTCAAGAGGCTTTCCCAGGTGTGTGGGGGACACTGGAGTTTTTCCCAGTGAGAGTGAGGCTAGGAGGGAAAACGGGGGGGTTTATACAAGGAGGTGGGGGAAGGTGGGGCAGCGCTCGCTGGCCTGAGAGGATCACTAACCGCCTGTCTCGTTCTTTTCCCCCTTTGGACACAGAACTGGTTCCGAACCTCTTCAGAGGCAGCCCGGAAAAAAAAAAGCAGGGACCAGATTTCCTCCAGCCAGGAGGAGAAAAAGAAAAGCACAAATGGGAAGAAAAGAGGGAGGAAACCCAAGGAAAGGCCCCCGGAAACGTCTCCGAAAGACAGAGAGAGCACAGCAAAGACTAATCATAAGAAGGCCCCGGAGCACTGGGAAGGATCCAACGGCAGTCCCGAAGGGAGGGAGAAAGGCGCCAAGCTGCCCACCAACAGGAAAGGTGGTGCCAGTAAGATGCCTGAGAAATAAGGGGGCCAGAGACTTACTGAGGATTAGTTTACAGCCCAGGGTAACAGGGTGGGGCCCCTCCTGGTTTCCTCTCCCCCGCTGCCTGCTCACCCAGTTTTTCTTTTTTAAACAAAAAACCACTTTAAGAAAATCATGGACCTTGTTTCACACTGGAAGAAAAAAAAGAAAAAGACCGTGCGATTGTCCATCCGCCACCCCCGTGCCCACGCCCGGGCCCCTCGCCTCCCCGACACACGCACGCGCTTGTGCGCACACACGGGCTGCACGGCTCTTCCCCGCTGCCTGCTCACCCAGTTTTTCTTTTTTAAACAAAAAACCACTTTAAGAAAATCATGGACCTTGTTTCACACTGGAAGAAAAAAAAGAAAAAGACCGTGCGATTGTCCATCCGCCACCCCCGTGCCCACGCCCGGGCCCCTCGCCTCCCCGACACACGCACGCGCTTGTGCGCACACACGGGCTGCACGGCTCTTCCGCTGCTGTGTCAGGTAAGGCAGCCAACCGCCTGCGAAGCAGGGACCCTCCCCCCACCGCCGCCCCGCACGGACCGTTTCCTTCGAATTCTGTGCGCAGCACGGGCGATGCTTGAGCAAAAGGAACGTGCAATAGAGACGGGAGGCGTAAAAACGCAGGCTTGCTTGTCGGATTGCAGTGCCAGCCTAGGAACCGGATGGGTTTCTTTTGGGGGTGGAGTAGGGGAGGGAGGAAAATGAGGCTGTCGGTACCTCACCCCACAGTGGGTCCTACAGCTGGGGGCTTGCTTGCCGAGAAGAACAAGGCGTGGTGATGAAGAGGAGTTCCCAAGGAATAGGCTTTGCCTACCTGTTGCAAGCTGGTGAGGTAGAAATGCCAGCCCCAAAGTCGGACGCAGAGCATGGGGATCCAAAGCATAACGCCGGTAAGAGAGATTTCAGGTGTGTACGGCAAGTCGGCACCTCGTGGCACCCGCCTGGGAGAGCCACGGCAAGGGGCAGTGTGATTCTGTCAATGGCGCTTGTGCTGGGCTCCCTAAGGAAGAGCTGTCCCTCGGAAGCCACCTGTCGATTTCGAAAGATGGTGGGGGTCCCAGCGTGTAGCCGTGTTCCATTGGTTTTGTGGCCCAGCCAGTGGTTTCTTCCCCCCCTCAGGTGTGGGGACCGCGGGTAGCGACGCGTTCGCCGTAGCACAAGGAGTTAGGAGGATATCGTCTGTCAGTTTTGCTGGGGTCGTTCACAAGCAGCAAAGACTGCTCAGTGAGGCAAGGCGCATGCTGATGGGGCATGAGAAAAAGATCATGACCGTCAGAGGTAGGGATGTGAATAACTAGACGAGTCAATGAGTCATTTTCCCCCCCCCTCCCTTTGCTGCCTCTTATCAGAAAGAGGCGGGAAGGGGGAGGAGCGGGTGCTTCAAAGTGGCAGTGCCGCATGGAACCCGGGATCACACCCTGGGCTCCACGCCGCACTGCCACTTTGAAATGCCACGTGCAGCCCAGGGCCAGCAGGGGAGTCCCCCACTGACCCTGGGTTCCATTCAACACTGCCGCTTTGAAATGCCCCGTGCAGCCCGGGACCTCCAGGGGAGTCCCCCACTGACCCTGGGCTCCATGCGACACTACCGCTTTGAAATGCCACGTGCAGCCCAGGGCCAGCAGGGGAGTCCCCCACTGACCCTGGGTTCCATTCAACACTGCCGCTTTGAAATGCCCCGTGCAGCCCGGGACCTCCAGGGGAGTCCCCCACTGACCCTGGGCTCCATGCGACACTACCGCTTTGAAATGCCACGTGCAGCCCAGGGCCAGCAGGGGAGTCCCCCACTGACCCTGGGCTCCATGCGGCAGTGCTGCTTTGAAATGCCATGTGCAGCCTGATGCCAGTCTCCCTACGGTGTTTCAAAGTGGCAATGCCACACGGAGCCGGGGGTCAGCTGGGGACTCAGAATCCCCCATTGGCCCCGTGCTCCCTGCAGCCCTGGGGCTGTTGCTACACTTCAAAGGCAGAGGCGCCCTATCGACTAATCGAATAGTCAGTGCAAATTGCATCGACTTTTCGATTAGCTAATTTAATCTAAATTTAACATCCCTCCTCAGAGGTGCTGAGCACGCATGACTCCAGCGAAAGGCCACTGGAGCTGCAAGTGCTTAGCGCCTCTGGCAAGCTGGCTCAATGAGACCAGTCCCGGGGAAGGGATTGTTCTGTGGGCGGGAGCAGGGTGGTTTTTATTTGTAACTAAAGGCCGGGCAGTTGTAAAATGATCGGAGCTCCTTGGAGCTCACTTGCCAGATTGTAGGGGAGAAAAAAATCACTCTGAAGTTTGAGAGAACTTTTCCAGGCTTTTTTTTTAATGGACGTCAGTATAAAATACTTGTATCAAATTGATACTGAGCTATCGGTACACGTCGCCCCTTAGCAATAGAGCTGGGTGAATGCGGCAGAAAATAAGCATGGACGTTTCTTTGCTCACTTTCTGCTGGCAGGAAAGTTCGCTACAAGAGCAAACGCTGTGGAGCATTGGTGGAAAAAGACGTTCAAAGCCACGACCGAGAGCCTTCACCCTAGGCAGCTGAGTCTAAGAATAAGGCTCCGTGCCCAGTCAAATGAACTCCACTTTTGCATAGTGAAGATGCACAAAAAGCTGCTACAGACCCAAGAGAGTGAAGAACTTCTGACAAAGAATCCATTTGGGAACATTGCAAGCTGTTCCTGGGCAGAGAGAGGCAAAATTCAACCCAGTGGTGTGTGAATTAGTCACCCAGTTCTGTTCTCTACGCCCGGGAGATCTCTCCAGCTTGAATTTGGTGCACTGGATTGGCACCAAGCGACAATCATGGGCCATGTTTCATAGTCACACCCCTGTGGCTTGTTGGATGTACTCTTCTCTTGACTTCTCGCCTCCTTCCCTTTCGGAGGAACATGCTGCAGCCCAGGGAAGCAAACGCTGATCCTTTGAAACTCTTACTGACCTCATTCATGTTCCCAATTTCGCTTTTATCGGGCATCCCTTAAAGGGACGCTTCCTTGTTAACAAACACGCTTGTCTTGCGTTCATGTGTCCCTGAGCTGGAATTCTCAGAACCCCTGGGCTGGAAGAGAAACTTCTCCAGAGTCCAGACTAAAGCTGATCTGCTTCTAGATAAAAACCAGGCTACCTCGTTCCCTGGAGCTTGCTGCAGTTCAAACATCACAAGGGGGCTTCGTGGCGCATTTTTGTGGCACATTTTTCGCTTGCCAGTGAAACAAAACCCAAGGAGTTTTTCCCCTCGTTCACTTTCAATTAGCGATTTCGGAGGGTTACATTCAGGAGGGAGAAATTGTGTTTGTTTAGTCAACGAAAACCTTGACCTTCTCTTTGCTTCATTGCGTTGCACAGCCTGTCCTCGATCCCCTCGATTCTTGGTGTTTTTTCATGCTCCGAGGAACCATTCAGTAATAATTAACGTCCGTCTCCGGTGACACGTTATTACTGCCTCTGAGATAGAGCCGTCTCCTCCTGATGTCAAGTCAACTCCTCTAGGGAGTCATTGCTTAAGCGCCCGCCATATATCTTGACAGCTGAATTAAAACGTGTGCATTTCCCCTGGTAGCACAGCTAAGAAAGTGTGGCTAAAACCTCCGCCACTTGCTTCTGAACACCATGGCCTCAGGTTTGATTGGGATTGAATCCCTGCCTTCCGTTTGGCCATTGTTTCCGGAACACTTAGCCAGGCCGTGTTTCAAAGCAGTTAGTGAACAAATTTAATTAGCCGGCACATCTGGTCCTGTTTGCCTTTTGGGTGTCATCTGCTCAGTTGTGTGTCTGGTTGTCGGCAGTGCAAAACCCAGATCTCATCCCACAGGGGAAGGGAATGCTGCTAAGGCTAGCTTTCCTCGCACCTTGCCAGGGCATTGCAGAAGCGGTGGGTTGCAGCTGCAACGGTGTGAGCGTCTTGGCGATATTCTAGCCGGGCAGAGCTCAACAGTGGGGCTGCCTTTTTCAAACGGCGTCGTCAAAGCAATCATTACTGGGAAGCCATTTGCACAGAGGGTTGTTATTCCCAGGGTGGGAAAGCGCTGCTAAGAGATACCCCGCCGATGCTCTAGAGAGGTGCTATCCTGCCATTGTTCCGTGCTATTGTTGCCACTTGCTAAAAGCCCCCAGGGTGGCGGCAGCGT